AATGTGAAAAAATCAATAAAGAAGAGGATCAAAGAAGAAGAGAAGAGGAAATAAAAGGATTGGAGGAAATTCATAAGAAAACTCTGGATGATCTAAAGAAGAAACATGAAGAGGAAGCCAGAAAGAAAGCTGAAGAGTTCAACCAAGCCCAGAAGAAACACATGGATGAATTAGCAAAACAGAGGGAAGAACATAAGAAGGAAATGTATGACTTAGTGAGACGTGTGACCAAAAAGACTGAAAACTTGAACAAGATCAAGAATTTAATGCAAAAACATGAAAAACAAATGAAGAATCTGACTAATGAGGAGGACATGGAAGACCTCCAGGAAAAACAAAAGGATCAACTAAATGAGTTGATGAAAAACATTTTGGGAGAAGAGATCAGCAGCTCACCAGCCTGCAGCATTTTATGAAACGAAACGTCAGATGTTCTTCTCTTTCTGTCATTTAGATAACAGAATCTTTAAAGTAGCACTGATTTGTTGTTGTGCATGTTTTACACCTGCTGTAGATCACAGCCACAGAAACTGATTAGTGATCATCAGTCTCAGCAGTGTCATCATTAAACTACAGGTCATTACACCAACATTAAAACTGCTTCTGACTGGTGAAACTAATTTATCTCATGTATAGTAATTAGCTGTTGTTACATGTTACATGCACTTCTGTGTTCCTGAGTTCTAATGTTGATTTACTTTTAACCGTTGTCACCACATTTTATTATTGAGGCTAGAACATGCTGTTGGTCTCAAAGGCACAGTCCTATCTTAGTTTAAATCATATCTCTCAGAGAGGACTTTCTCCGTTTCTATGGGACAATACTTTTCCTCTTCTGCCCATATCTACTGTGGTGTGCCCCAGGGGTCTGTTCTTGGTCCTACTTTGTTCTCCCTGTATATGCTGCCTTTGAACTCTACTTTCTAAAACTATTAACATCTCTTTCCACTGCTATGTTGATGACATCCAAGTTTACTTCCCCCTGAACTTGGATGTCTCTGACCCACTGTAACCTTTGTTTAACTGTCTTCATGATGTTAAAGTTTGGTTATCACAAAACTTTCTCGCATCGAATGAAAATAAAACTGAAGTAATAGTCTTTGATAGACATACCCCTTTGCTTCAGAAGCACTGTGTCGAGGCTTGATTCATTTGGCCACAGTCATGTGATGTCTGGTTCTGTTGTGTGTGTGAGTATGTTGAGTTGATTTTGGTCAATCGTGTGGGTTTGTTAGGATTCTGTTCTTTTCATTTGCTTTTGTTTTGTGTGTGTTTATTTTATCTGAAAACATTAAATACTTAAAATGTCAAAAATCTGCTCTTCATAATATAAAAATCATTAAATAACTTTAAAAGACCTCCAATTGACTCTTTCAATTTAATTGAATAAAAATTGAATAAAAATATATTTTAGTTTTAATATAATCTTAAAATGTTATTCTAATAAATGTGCAGCAATTTAATTTGTTTATTCTCTTTAGCTGATAGTCTGTGGGACCCAGGAAGACCATACTCCTGCATCTCTACCCAATTGTGTTGCAGTTTCTGTGCTTTCCAGCCTCTTCTGTTCCATGTGAGAGGATTTTCTCTAAGGCAGGAGAAATTATCTCCAAGAAAACAAGCAGACTCGGCCATCACACACTGAAATAAATTATTTTCTTTAATAAAAACCAAACAGGATAACCTTAAATGCATCATGTTTTTTCATTTACAAGTTCATAAGCATTTCCCCTTTCCAGTTCACAATCAACTCTACCCCCAGGTCAAAGCTATGTATAAGAAAATTGGTCAAATATAATACTATTTATAAACGTACCTGTCCATCTCTCCAGTGATTAATTGCGTAAGTACGAAGTCACGAAGAGGTGAAGGATGACCTGGATTGCAGCTATTCAAAGACCAAATATAACGTTCCAGAACACTCCAGCTCACATGTTGGTCTGCTCCAAGCCTTTCCACAAATGTAAGTCTTTTGTTGTAGATGTTACGTAATTTATTATAAAATAATTGTTGATGTAGGTTACAATAATAATATTGATTTGAACTGAATTCATTAAGCTATGCTGCTTTGTTTACTGTGGCTCTGCGGGCTAATGCTTGTTGTGCTTTGTAGGCAATCCAGCCTACAAAATGCTGGACTGCGATACAGACTGGGCACCCCCTATCAACCTGGGTCATACCGAGTTTAAAGCTGCTACCAGAGCGAGATTTGATCGGTTAAGGAGAGCGAGATCAAAACAGCCACGCAAAGTCAC